TTAAAGATAGATCACCATTCGAAGTAACTGATCATGACCTCCCGTTATTGCTAAATGAGGCAGCAGCAGTGTCGTCACCATTTTCCTGCTCGTTCGGAAACTTAGTATTCACTAGCAAATGACAGAACTGCAATTATTGATTATTTTGATGTATGCAAAGTCATGACAAGTCAATAAGTGACGTCCACTGATGTTTGATGAAAGCCAGGTCACAATTAAAGTTAGTATTTGGCGTTTTTTATTGTTTGATGTATGCGAGGTCATTGGTAAAAAAAATGACTTCTTTTGGTGTTTTTGTGTACCAGCTGACCAGAAAAAAAGTTATTTCAAAGAAATGTTAATAACGTTCTTGTTTATAATCCAATTGACATCAAAACTGACCAAAAGCTAAAACATCCTTCTGGATTATGTTACTAAAAAGTTCATTGCTGTTGCACAGCGGAAAGATCATAAAAGACATCTTGCTTTTGCAGTGAAGATGTATCAACAAATGAAATCTCCTAAATCAACATGGGCATTATTTACTCGGCACACGGGATAGATATCTGTAACAAACATAAAGTTCCAAGCAAAAGGTCCATTTTAAAATGAGCTGCAAATTTTGAAAGGTTTGAGTCCATAGAAGAACAGAACTTGAATTTTAAGCGCCGAGTAACACGGTAGACATCCTGTAAAAACAACGGACGCTTGAAAAGGTTAGGGTGGTTCATGATTCGGTGAAGTCTGACCGATACCTCGCCATCCCACCAAAATTTTGGAGAAGCTTGAAACTATTTGTTGATGCAGAAGGGGGACAGAAGCATAACTTCCAGTTTGACGAGGCTGCTCGTCATAACGCCGGAGCTGTTCTGCGACGAATCAGCAATCATTCTGGTTATAAAACAGTCAGTCCGACTGGCACAACTGGACACCAAACGATCCGGACCTGAGTCTACTGGACTTTCTATATTTAGTGTGTTGCAAGGACAAGGTGTGCGGGGAAACCTTTGAAAGCATCTAAGGTTTGAAAGAACCATCATGGAAAGAGATTTCCCCTGCTCAGTGTCAACGCCTGATTGTCAATTTTACTCCTTGTGTCAGAATGGGCTTTACTCGAAATTGGGGGTATCTGAAGATATTATATTGTAACTTTGTTTGAAGCTGTCATATTTTATTGATATTAATACAGGATAAACCTGGATAGATGTACCACGTTTCTGCAAACTTTGGTGTTTGTATCTTAATTCGTAAAGGTTTTATGGGTTTTCTTTTAGACGAACCTTTTTCTGGTCACCTGATATGTAAATTCATATATTTTATTGTCAGTATGTGACAAACACTGATACTTAGTGTCTTCGAGCCCATATAATATATTATACATTATTATGCCAGCTGTTGACGTCTGTAGTTTCGTATACGCGAAGGTCGCAGGTCAGATGGTGAAGTCTGCGATATTGGATGTGTGCGAGATCATGGATCAGAAAGTGATTTATAGCAGTTTTAAAAGATGTAAGCTATGGGAGGTGTTGGTCTGTAGTTTGCGTCTTTTAACGTTTAATGCACGCAGGGTCAAAGGTCAACATGGGACGTCCAGCGATGTTTGATATATGAGGGGTGTGGACTTCTCTATTGTCTATTGATGTATTGTCTACATCTGTAATGTATTGATATGTGTTTATATGTAGATTACATTCATAATTTTTTGTACATAAATAGTATATATATTCTAAGTATATTGATTATTAAAATATATAGGCCTACTGCTGCAGTCTTTTAAAAAAAATTGTTGTCATGTACAATTGCAATTTATTGATTCTTTGTACTGTTGCCTATTGATGATATTTGCACAGCTATAGTCTCTTGATACTTACGGGCAGCTGCAGTTTATTGATTGTTATATACAGAAGTCACCTATTGATATTTATATACACTTGTTAAAATTGATAAATATGTATATTATGCTGTTTTTAAAAAGTTACAACTACTGATATTTAAGTGCACTTTTTTTTTTACCGATAAATCATATGTAAAGCTGTATTTTTAAAAAATACATTCTTGTGTGGTCTGTTTGTATTTATTTGTTGACCTCTTCGGTCCATTGCGCCCAAAGAATATTTTGCACTCGCTCGTCTGCGAAATGTTACATCGCTTGCGTGGATAGGCAGGCCCCCGATCACTGGTTGTAACTTTGCTCACTTGTACTGTAAATTGTATATAGTGCGTGCGTGTGTGCATTCGTGCGTGCATGTGTGCATGCATGCATGGGTGTGTGCGTGTGTTCGTGCGTCCGTGTATGCCTGCGTGCGTGCATGGTGCGTGCGTGTGTGTGTGTGTGTGTGTGTGTGTGTGTGTGTGTGTGTGTGTGTGTGTGTGTGTGTGTGTGTGTACCTAGGCCTGTTTATGTATTTATTTATACATATGTGGCTTGGTGCTTTAATGAGTTTTAAAGAATTTATTAAGCAAATTGTTTTGTTCAGTATTCATTGTTGAATTTTAGTTGGCTTGCAAAGGGATATAAATAAATTATTAGCTTGATGTAGTATGTATGTGTGTGTGATTTACACACACGCACACACACACACACACACATGCACACGCACATTCATACACACACACACACACACACACTCACACACACTCGCACATATACACTCAGACGCACAGACACACACTCACACACACACAGGAAGAGATAGAGAGAGCGAGAGAGCGAGCGAGAGAGAGAGAGAGCTAGAGAGAGAAGGAGAGAGACAGAGGGAGAGAGAGACAGAGAGAGAGAGAAAGAGAGAGAGAAAAAGAGATAGATAGATAGATA